TTATTCATTCTTATAGCTATTTACTATAGAGGTGGAAACAACAATTATATGACAGAAAATTTCATTTATCAGAATTAATGTCACTTGTAGCTATAATGAAAACAATATTAATTTCAATAAAAAAATGCCGAATCATTATTTTTCATTATTGTATACTTAAATAATTACTTGACTGATATATTGTATATCGAAAATAAATATCAGCAGGGATGGTATGTCACAATGTCCAATTGGTTTCAAAAAAAATTGAACAAATTAGCGTAAATGATGAGCGACCGTGACTTTAGTCACGAGAGCGGGTATTATCACGAGGGATCAGCAGGCTAGTATCACATGACCTGTTGCGTTGTGGGATCGATATTTAAAGGCTGGGCGCGTGAAGTCATTTGCTTGTGCTTTTTCTTTGCTGTTGCCCAAAAGTAATACTTTTTGGCTCTATCGTAAAAACGACTACAACAACATCAAGAAAATAAACAAGACAACTTTAAAGAGTAGATTACGTAAGAAACCACTGACTAATGATGACCTTGAAGCCAAAAGAAGTGAGGCAAGACATTCCCAGATGACGATTGACACTCTAAGAATAGTCGCTGAAAGGCTGCAACTTGACACATCTGGTAGTAAAACAGACCTTATCGAAAGAATAAGCACTTGCTGCCCTAAGCAGAGAAGTCAGCAGGAAGAAGGTCCGGCATTACAAAACAGGACCCAAATGACTAAGACAGAAGGTAGTGCATCAGTAAATAGATCTCAAAATGATAATTAAGATCTTTGAGACCTCCTGGAGGATGAAGCTGAAGAACAGATAAATAAGAGGAAAAGAAAAGGGAAAGATAGAGAAATGGAATTATTATCATCAATCTCCCCTTTCTCAAGTGATACTGAGAGAGTAAGCTACAAAAAAGCCCACCAGTCCTAAATAAAAAATTCAGAGATTAAGAACCTGTTAACAGAAATAAAAGAGTTAAGGAAAGACATGATAAATGTAAATACAAGGGTAGAAGAGACCTGAGTAAGAGCAAAAATCGAGGAAGAATGGACTGAAGAACATTTTGAAAGGTCTAGAGATCAACATGAATACAACCTACTTCGGGCAATTGGTAGAGATCTGGATATAAGCATGAATTCTGCTTCTGTTGAAGAGGCGGTATCCTATATTGATGCAGTGAAAAAGAAAGTAAAAGATCAGATGATATTGTTAAAAGTAGCAAAAAAGTATAGATGGGATGTGGCAGTCGAACTGCCTCAATCTACAGATGAAGAACTAACTGATTATATAGAAGTAATTGATAGAGCCCGCCAAGTGGCGGCGTCAAAAAAGAAACAACAGCTATTTGATACATCACAAAGGAAACAGTTTTTTCATACCTCACAATATAATAACAGCACAATGGACCGAGAAAGAGGAAACTATTACGAACTAACCAAGGACTACAATTCAAGCAGATCTTATGATATAAAAAACTCATATACCAGACCTTATTATCAAGAATGAGAGCCAAGAATCAATAAAGAGAAACTTACATGCTACAATTGTGGCAGATTGGGACACCTTGCAGTCAAATGCCTCTCATCAAAGAACTACAAACCCAACAACAATCCAACCACAACACACCCAAGAGATGATAATATTAGAAACAGCTGACTATATTTGGATGACAGAAATGACAGTGACGGGATGGTTAAACCTCCTCTCTTTAGTGGTCTACTGGGAAACAAAAATAAAAGCATCACTATTAATATTGAATTGGCTAAGAAATGGCATACCTTTATTTCCCAGAGGGTTACTCCCTTTAACAGCACAGCCAACTCAAAGACAATACAAAATGAATACGGAACAATCAGACTGGATAAAAAAGGAACTAAATACGATGTTAGAGAATGGAGCAATAAAATGGGTAGGACTTGGGTTTACAAGACCAGCAACACTTATGGAAGTCAGTCCAATTTTTTTGAGACCAAAAACAGGCCCCAAAAAATGGCGGTTAATCATCGATCTTAGAAGGTTGAATAGTACCTTACCAGACCGGCCATTTCAGTTCGAAGGGTTGAGAACCTTTATAAGGTCAGTCGGCAGAAACTGGTGAGTAATCATAATAGATCTGAAGGATGGTTACCACCATTTATTAATGGAGGAGAATGCACAAAAGCTACTAGGATTTCAATTCAACAAAAATTGGTACCATTATCGTGTCCTACCTTTTGGCTTAAGCCAAGCGGTATGGATGTTTCAAAAGTAATGTGAGCACTCATAGGGCACTGGCGCTCCCTTGGAATATATTGCGGGAACCATGTAGACGACATTTGGATAGCACATCCATCAAGAGAGATTCTGCTAGAACAGAGTGAAAAAATCATCACAGTAGATTTGGAGAAAGGTGGGTTAGTAAAACACAAAATAAAGGGCTCTTGGGAGCCAACTCAGACACCAAAATTCTATGGCCTGATATTAAACATAATAAAAAAAGAGGTGGTAATCCCGGAGGACAAACTTCAAAAAATAAAGAAGTCATTAAGAGCACTATTAACAACTCCCAAACTATCTGCACGCATGCTAGCTTCAGTATTAGGCTCACTAATGAGCCTGAGCCAAGCCTTTGCTCCGGCAAAAGTGCGGTGCCTAAAATTTTATGCAATAATAGACGCAACAAACTGAAGAGTACAAGACTGGGACAACAAAGTAACACTTTCTCTGCAAGCAAAACAGGATGCCAAGTGGGTTCTGGAAAATTTAGAAAGAGGAAATGGGAGACCTGCTTGGAAACCATCAAGGATATTTCCTTTATTCATAGATGCATCAACAACAGGTTGATCAGCAACTTTGCTCAACAAAAAGCCTTTGGGAATTGGGCAAGAAGGCATACCCATACAGAGATAGCGAAACTAGAATCAGAAGCAACCTGTTTAGGAATAAGCTCTTTCAAGAAAGAATTAAGCCATCACTGGATAATGGTTTTTATAGACAACAAAATAGCTAGGAAAACAATGGAACAAGGAGGAAAAACCCCATGGCAGAAGCATTACATGAGAAATGTGTGGAATTTGTGTGACGAAAATAACATCTGGGTATACAAGTTCCACTGGGTGCCAAGCCAACTAAACCTAGCCGATGAACTTACAAGGTTTTTTGACGATACCAACTGGGGAATCTGCAGGAAAGTATTTTGTTACCTCGACAAGATTTTGGGCCCCCATACAGTCGACAGAATGGCTAGCGATCGGACAGTGCACCTAAGGAGGTTCAACTCACATTGGCACTCACCAAACACCGAGGCAGTAGACTGCTTTACAGAAGACTGGGGAGGACTTAAAGACTAATTTAAGATATGCTCTACAGTGATAAACTATGCATAAACTATTAAGAAATATTACACAAAGTATATTTAAAAGTATATGCAAAGCATCTAATAGTATAATGGTTACACAAAGAAAGTTTAAGTGTGAAACTTTCTTTGTGTAACATTTTCCTCCCCTTCGAGGATGAGCCCCATTCGAATCCCAGCAATAACTTTTTTTTTTTTTTTTTTCAACCATGTCCACGCCAAAACGAAGGGTCAAACCCTTATCATATGCCCCTTAACCGCGCGTACAACTGTGTGTGCATCCATATACAATCTAAAGTTTTCTTAATATATTACATGCTATTTATTTGTATGTGACTATTATCATTCGGCTTTTCTTCAATTCTTCTTTCGATGTATCGCTTTAATTGATTGTTATAGATGGCTTGTTCTAATCCTTCAGTTTTATTATTGAGGGTTTTTAGTTTATAGGTTTCATTTCCAAATTTTTTGCAGATTTGATAGGGATCTGTCCATTTCTCTTGTAACTTCCCGCCTAATTGCTTGGCTAGCCTGGCTCTATATCATAGTACCAAGTCACTGACCTCAAAAGTTTGGAGCAGGTGTTGATGATTGTGATGCTATTTTTGCCTTACTTGTGACTTGCATATATTTTTTCTAGCATTAATTCGTGCTTCAAACATTCCATTGACAATTTCAAATGTTCATGCTAGAATTAGTGCTTTGTATTATTCTTCAGCTGCATAATCAACAGAATATATCTCCAACATCAACTCTACGAGCAAGGTAGGTTCCCTTCCATATAACAAGTAGAACGGACTATATTTCGTGATATAGTGCTTGGCAGTTCTACAAGAAAATAGTGCCGGCAACAGATAATCATCCCAATCCCCAAGAAACTGACTTATGCATTTAGCCAAAGCTTCATATAAGGTTTTATTGAACTTTTTTACCAAACCATTGCTTTGTGGATGGTAAGTGGTAGATAATTTATACTTGAGTTGGGCTTTTTCACACACCAAGTCTATTATCTTGTTAACAAAATAGGAGCTTTAATTCAATTGTACTTGTCATGGGCACCCATGTCTGCTTATTATTTCTTCCAGTACAAATATGGTGACGCTTTCTGCTGAACAATCCATTAGTGCTCTGGCTTCAGGCCATTTTGTTAGATATTCAATAATAATGACCAAATAATGATTCCCTTTCTTTGTTATAGACAATGGGTCTATGATGTTAATGCCAATATGATCGAAGGGTTGAGTTACTTTAATTAGGTGCAATGCTTCCCTTTTTGTTGGTTTACCCATTGTTGATATACGTCGCAGCTCTTAATGAAGGTTCGTATATCATTCACCATTTGGTTCCTGAGGTATCGAGCTTTCGCTTTTTTGCTTGTGATATTTTCGCTCAAATGTCCAGAGACAAGATCTTCATGCAGGGCTTTAATACAAATTTCACTTGTTCTTACTTTATTACCCTTAGTAGATTATCAGTGTTTTCTTTATTCCAACAATATAAGATACCATCATGTACAATATAATACCAGGCTTTTGCCTTTAATTTTTTTGTTTGCTCCTTCGAGTACTCCATAGAGATTTATAACTTGTTCAAATAATTTACTAATGCTTTATAAGACTCCATTGTAATAATTCTTTTTTTTTTAACTAAGTTACTAATTTTCTAAATTTTCTAGATATATATGTGCTGTTTAAATAGAAAGTACTATTATTGTTTTATATACTATCATCATATATTTGACTAAAAATTTTAACTATCTTGCTAAATGTTTATTATATTTTAAAGTTTTTTATAGGTGCTCTGCACCTACATCGTCGTAGCTATCTCAGCTTCACTACGTCCATTTGTTTTGTTCAACAATTAATAGTTTTTATGCCTTTGATATTGTATTATTATATGTATATATAAAAATTTTAAATTATGTGACTTTGTGCCAAACTAATTGTCTACAAACTAAATTCTAGTTGCAATAATTAGCTAATTTGTTCCAGTTTCTGTTTGCATTGTTGAGTGTGGTTTAGAATTAATAATATAAAGGGAGGTTTTTTTTATTTGCTTCTTTTGTTTATCATTTTTCCATTCTTTACCATCAGATCTCCTCCTGAGTCAACCGTAATTCTTGATAATACATCCACATTGCTCAATTGCTTTCTGAGTTTATGTTTAATTATAAAGTCATAACCTTGCAATAACACAATATAGCAAGCCATTCTTCCAGTAGGGTTCACCATATTATTCTTTTTTTTTTTTATTTATATAATGCTATAGTAGAAACTTTATTACAAATAGAAAAATAATTCTAAACCTAAAGATTTCTAA